AAAACAAAGGAACAAATCGTTTTACGACTTATACGTATGAGACTTTAGCGTTAACTCTTAATCTCGGTCAGTTTTTTTTGTCGATTCAGTTGACTGCAAAAAAGGAAAATTAACTAAATTGTGTGTTTCAGTCCCTCAAAAACGAGAAACTGGGCTCAGTTTCTTTTGAAAATTAAAATCCCTTCCTTTTTACTTTGCAGAACTCAGCAGATGAATGTGTGGACTACTGATCACCTGGCAAAAGCTGACAAAAGGTAGTGGTCTATGTAGAAAAATATTGTTTACTTAGTCTCTATCTAAACTATTGTACGGATCAGACTATTTACCGCTGGGAAATATCAAGGTTGCTGGGGAGACGGAGGGAGATCACTTTGTTGTACTTTGTTGTACAGAACTGCTTGCGTTTAGGTGAGGATTAGAGCTAGGAGACACTCTGTGATATCTATCATTAGGAGCATGAAGCTCTGGCCATACTAAATGTTTTTAATTATCTCTATCGCAGGGCTGATCATCTATCATTTGAAGTGTGCAAGAGGAAAACTGTTCTGAACTATGATTGAGCATAAATTTTAAATTGTGCATTTGACTTGTAGAATAGAAGGGATATAACATTAAAGTTACTGATTCAGAACGAAAGCGGAGGAAACTGTATTTATTTGTCCCCAAATAGTCACATAATCTAGAGTCTAGTGTTTGGAAAGCTTTATATACCCCACCAACATCAGCTTAAGGTCAAGTAGGCATATGAGACGTGGATAAAGAAGGTGGTGGAGAGAGATTAAAAGGCTGACCGGCCGGGACGTCAAATAAGACTGGTACTGCCAGTTCCTTGACAGTGACATGGATATTAAGTCATTAGCAAACAAGATCGATGACTATTTTTTAGGCCTTACGGATCACTTTGCCCCTCTACGTCAAGTGCCACGCCCGTATCCGTCCCAGACGAATACCTTGTTTCTGAGAGGGAAGTCCTCAGATCTCTGTCAGTCCCTTAAAATTTCTAACGCGCTCGGACCTGAAAATAGCCTGCGAAAACATCCGTTTCTCCTCACTCCTCGCCGCTGGGGACGTTTCGTGAGGAGGAACATCTGCGACTCGGCGACAGAAATTCTATACTGATGACTTAAAATATGTCCGGAATCCGACCAGAAGCCTGATTAGTCGACGAAGTAGTTACATTGTTTTAGCTATTGTTTACGAATGACAGACAAAAGACAAAAGGCCACAAAGGTCAAATGTAAACGCGACGAGTCCCTAACAAAACAGTCAATATTTCAACCTCGTTCCCAGGGTTCTCTCCTACGTAGGAGAGAACCCTGGGAACGAGGTTGTCAATATTTGTGGAATTTAGTCTTCTCTAGAAAAGCATTTGAGTTTTGCTGGAGCTCGTTCTTAGATGAACACAACACTTTACCAAAATCGACCAGGAGAAACGTAAAATTGAACAAATTTGCATATGGAACCCCATGACTACCGGATTTATTTTTTAAACATTGATTTACGTCATCAGTATTGAATTTCTGTCGCTGAGTCGCAGACGTTCCTCCGCGCGAAACTTCACCAGCGGCGAAGAGCGAGGCGAAACAAATGTTTTCGCAGGCTAACCTGACAACATCCCGAACAAGATCTTGAAGGAGTTTGCACCTGAACTGGCTCCCATTATCTGTGACATTTACAACCAGTCGTTAAGGAAGGAGTATATTTCATCTCTGCTCAGGTACTTCATCGTTACCCTTTTTCCCAAGGTGTGCCCGCCTGGAACCATCGAAAAGGATATAAGACCGATATCCCTCACCTGCACAGTATCAAAGATCATGAAGGGCTTTAAGTGCACCAGACTTCTACCCCAGTTGGAAGACAAGATTGATCCTCGGCAGTATGCTCGCAAGGGGCATTCGATATTAGATGCTCTCCTATACAAAATTATTTCAAGCGATATACGAGGCGGTGGACATGCAGTGGTGAGGCATGTGCTCGGGTCTTTTTCGCTGATTTCGCTAAGGGATTTGATCTTATTGATTACACTATTCTAATTCAAGAACTGGACGTAGGTGACGTAACAAAAAAAACATGGAAAATATAAAAACAAAACTGTTAATTCTCTTCAGATAAATTGAATCTGCAGAAAATTTGATTTGTCTTCATAATGCTGAAGGCGAACGCAGATGAAACTTCAGTCTTGAATTGCTCTCTCTTTGTTGTTGCTGATTTTTTTAACTTAAAGTAAATTCAACCAACGACCTTGTCAGATTTCGTCAACTAAATTTTGCCCATAGCACAGGTGATTGTCATGTGTCAAGGAAGTTGCTTATCGAAAACGTGGTGTATTTTAAAAAATATAAGTACCACTTGTCTTTTGCGCAGGTGCAAATGACTTGAATACAAGCAGAAAGTATTTCTTTTTATCGGTTGTTTATTGAACGTCTGCATTTCATCCTTCCCTGCGCGTTTTTTTTTTTTCGCTTAGTAAGAAACAAAACACCAGGCCCCGGTTGTTCAAACGAACCTATCGCGATAGGTGACCTATTTAGTGATAGGTCACCTATTCATGATCCCTTTGGTTAACGCAATAGGTGACCTATCTGAAAATAGGCCACCTATCGCGATAGGAGCGTTTGAACAACCGGGGCCAGTTGGTTAACAGTGATAAATCGTGTAAATCAACGATCAAACTCTTAAACTCTTGTTTAAGGTGATTCCTTGGTAAAAGAACCTAACATAGATTGTAGATGAAACTTGGTACACTGATGTAAGAAGTCAAGAAGATGATAAAAAAAGTAATAAAAAGTGGGGTTCACCGTGCTCGTTTTGACGTCACAATGCTGACAAATACGGCTATTTAGGACCTTTTGACAAATCCCGCGCCCAGCCCAAAACCAGACAAAAAGGAGAGATTTTTTCGATGATGCATGTGGTATCGCACAGTATTTGACTTCAATGTATTTTTTATCCACTTACGTACCAGAAAAATGCCTTTTAATGCCCTTGTTTCTACTTTACGCTCCAAAGTAGAATTAAATTAAATTGGACACGGGCTGTTAGACCCGTGATAGCTCAATCTGTACAATTTAGTAAAATTGCCAAAAAACTGAACATAGACTTGTGCCAATTTTTTTCTCATCGAAAGGAAGCACTGTCCTTATCAAAATCATGAAATAAAAAATGGGGGTCACCGTACTCGTTTTTGCGGTAGAGCTGCAGAAAGTGCGCACCAAATGTTTTTTCTCCGACTTTGAGAGAGGACTGGGGCGAGTTTAAAAATAGAATGTATGTGAAAGGGGGGAGAAAGTATTAAAAAATCCGTTTTTACAGAATTTACATCGAGATACCACCTTTAGGACGCAATGTGATAAAGAAAGCGTTTAAATGAAAATCAAGGTGAGTAAGCACAAGTTCAACATCCACTATCGAGGTTCTCCGTGAGGAAGTCGAACTCAACAACACTCGTACTGCTTACGTTATGCACACTCCCAATACATGGAGTCTCACCTCGGCAAGACACAACCGTAAGCAAAAATTCCAACAGCGTTTCTCTTCAGTCAACTTCACTTTAATAATGTTACTTCACATGCTCTTTTTTACGGCAGCCATCTTGTTATGCGCAGTAAGAGATGCGCAGTGCAAAACCAGGGAATCACCTTAAAATCGTCAAATCTATGGTAACTGATAATGTAATATAATCTTTCGTTGGAAAATAAATGTAATCTCAACACCCTTACAATTAACGTTGGTTGCAAGATATGGAATTAAAACAATCGAGAGATAGTGACAAGTTTTTCAAGGATTAGTCTCGACCGGGCCTCTTTTATTGCCGATTTGGAATTCTCTTCTTTAGCACCTTCATCAAAAGTTGAGGGTTTTAATATACCTACATCGACGTTTTATGAGAGAAGGTAATAGCTAAGCAGTGTTACTGAGTTTCACAGCATGGTTGTTTGCTTTTTCCTTAGTTTATAGTTTGTTTTATCGGGTTAAAAAGAAAAACTCGATCGTAAGAGTAAAGATGCGCCATTTTTTCTTCAGATAAATTCCAACCATTAACATTTACTGCTGCTTTACTATATGTATAACCACTTTATTATTTTTACCATAACTGATTTTCTTTTTTAGATGAGAATTGTCCTTGAGTTCCTATCAGTGGCTACCGTTCTTGTGAAAGTGTCTCTCGTATTTGGAGAACACTCAGTGGACTTTGAAGGTAGGTTTCATTATTTGAAATTTCTTGTGATGTATTTTAGTGAGTAGTTGGTTTACGCACGTCTTTTTTGCAAACCAACCCGGCCGGGAACGTGAATGGAAAAAAGGAGTCAGTAGACACAATCAAAATAATTTGTAAATGAACTTCCTATATTAGCATTCTCAATGCATAGTAGTTTTAACAAGCTTTTTACCTCACCCTTTTTTCATTACTTGAAGTTTATCAAGACCATGTCAATAAAAATGAACTGGTGGCATCCAAGACTCCCGCATTTAAGCCCGTAGGTTGCCTCAGAGACCATGTTCGTAGACCCCGACCACTTCCCAAACTGGTTGCTAATCTCCGACAAGACATCGTTTGGACAGACCTGAATAGGACCATTATAGAGTGTGGTCGCATAGTTAACGAGATAGGCTTTCATTACTTTGGAGTTCAGTTCTATGGCGAATGTTGGAGCGGCAAAGATGCAGAGGTTAACTTCAACAAACAAGGGAAGTCTGGGAGGTGTATTTACGGAGTTGGAAAAGGGCACGCGGATTTCGTTCATGCCTTGGTAGAAAAAGGTGACAATTTCTTTATTTTTTGAGAATCAACTGACTACTTTTAATTGATACGCTTGGTGCTTTGGTATTTTCAGAGTGATCCTTTTTTCTGATATTTCTGACGTTGTCTAGAAGTAACAGTGCGGCTTATTAATGGCTCAAACAGCGGACGCGGCAGAGTTGAAGTATTTCACAGAAGAAAATGGGGAACTGTTTGTGACAGAAATTGGGACAATCGTGATGCAACTGTAGTATGTCGCATGCTTGGCTTTCCGGGTAATTGTTTTTTAAACTAAGCACTCTGTTAGGAAGTCACTATATTAATCATAGAAGTGCATATGATCAGATAGGGTTTACCTGTGAAGCGATGAGGCCAGCCACCCTGTCGCTGGTTTGCGCAATTTTTATACAGCGCAGAAAAATCAATTTTCGGATTTTTGGTTCCTTTGTACGTCGTAACGAATCCAAAGAAATTATTTGTAGTACAATGAAGTTATTCCAAGAGGCACCATTTTTAAAGGTAATTTTTGCATGATTAATGTTACAAATACTTTATTAAAATGATTAATTAAAGCAATAAATTGAATAACCAAACATGGTGTCCGTCTTTGTAAGGTTACAAAAGTTCACGTTTATAGAAATGAGACTTTCCCGTTCAGAAATCTCATGACATTTAGATTTTTAGTGATTCGAATGAACCCGATTCACAGTCGTGACTTAAATAAAATATATAAAGTAAAAAAAAAAAAGAAAATGAGGGACCTTATCGAAATAGTTCGAATCGTCGACAAAAAGTGATATTTACTTCACAAGCCATGTTTATTGCTGTGTGTAGGCTGTGAAATTAATAAGCAAGCAAGTTTGATAATTCATGACGCCATTCTAACCGACCAATTAGGTGTCGTCCTGGAAATAACCACGCAGCATGAGACAGAAACAAAAATAGATTTCAAGAAATTTTCATTGGAAGAGGAACATGTTAGGAGGATCTATTCTCTTTCTTCCCGCATGCACTCTCTTGATAAAGCGCAGTATAGTGTTACTCAAAGAATAAACTCTCTTTAAATATCGCTCTTTAGGAGCTCTATCCGCGCCTCGAAGTGCCACATTCGAAGAAGCAACAGGAACTATTCGGCTTGGTGACGTTGGTTGTAACGGAAGTGAAACAAACCTCGCTCACTGTTCACACAAAGATTATATCGCGGACTGTAATCACTTACATGATGCTGGTGCTGTTTGCCGAGCGGGCGTCCTGGACCCACAGCCAAGCATACCATGTAAATGAAGTAGTATGTATAATAAGTTATGTCTCATTCCGTAAACTACGAACTTAGTTTGCCTACAGTTAAGCATTCTAGAACTGAGATATCACTTAATTATCATTCCATTTTTCCTTAAGCCTGAGCTTTGATTAAAAAAATTACATTTTATATTTAACTGAGATTAGGAAATTTTGCTTAGTTTTTAAATTCTGTTGTATATGAAGCGAAAAAAAAATTATTAAATAGTCGAGAGCTCTTGTAAGTTGTAAGCAAACTGTGAAGCATCAGGCTAGATTACCAAGTATTTATTCATTAAAGTTTCGCTCAGTTTCATGAAACTAATAAAAAAACTGCAGTTTTTAGTTATTGTCTCATGGTGACAAATTGCAAGAAAAGCAAAATTAGGTAATATGTTGAGAGTATAACTATTTTACAAAGTCTCGGTGCCCTTCAGTGCAGTAACCAAAAGGAAAGTTTTAAAATATATATCGAAAAAAAAATGTCTCAAAGGTTGAGACATTTCTGATATGATTGTGTTTCATTTGTAGATCGTCTTGTGGGAGGGTTAAGCCGTAGTGAAGGCCGAGTGGAGGTGTTTCATAATCGACAATGGGGAACAATTTACAACAGAGGCTCAGATCTAACAGCTGCAACAATCATGTGTCGGATGCTAGCCTATACTGGTGCCATGGAAACGCCAAGTTATGGCATGGGCTTTGGTCGTATTTGGCTTAGTGAAATTGCTTAGTCAATTGCCAAGGGCAGGAAACTTCAATATTTCGATGTAAACGTGCAGAATGGGGCGAGGCCATAAACTGTGACCATTTCAACGACGCTGGAGTCAAATGCTATTTTTAAATTGAGACCTATCTTTATAAATTCACTGCTGTTTGCTCGATCTACCATCCTGGGTTCCAGAGAAAATTTTTTCTTATCGATACTGATAGTTCGCGGCGCGAAGCGCCGAGAGAAAAAAAATAACCGTCCGTCCGTCTCGGGAGCCTTACCAAACCATAAGCACGATTTATTTCATATTAGGTATTTTGAGAACGCACCTATGGGGCCAGGGTATCGATCCACTCGTGTAGCTTTGTAGAATTCGCCCCACGTAAGGAAAATCAAGACCGTCTTGGATCTGGATCCCACGCTGTGGATTCCGGATTCTTTATCCGGCAGTGGAACTTGGATTTCAGATTCCAATCAGAAAGGAGATTCCTCATTCCTTCGCTGAATTCCGGATTCCAATGCTCAGGATCCTGAATTCCTCTAGAAAAAATTCCGCGTATTCCGGATTGCTCTACTCAGCAAAAATTTCCTAGATTTTGGAATTCCGGATTACCTTACATTAGGCACTGATTACTCGATCCAGTAGCTTTATATACTTTGGCTCATTAACACGCATGTCCCAATTTCATTCATATGCAGTTTCTTATATATTTTCCTCTCTGAAATAGTTCACTCGAGAACGCACCGTCAGGACAAGTAAAAATCGTCGTTTTGAACAGAAAAGCAGAGTTTTATTATACACTATAATTGATTACATTTTAATTTAAAGAACATATTTTAACGTTTGCCTTAATCTTGAGCTATTCTTTTTTTTGTCTCTTCTCCAAAGTACAGTCTTTCACATAATTACCTAAGGAACCTGAAAAAAACGATGCATACCCATTAGCGTTAGAGCGAAGTGAAATGATTAATTGCTCAGCTTTCCTATTTCAGTCCCTCTTTTCTTTGGGTGGTGGAAATAGGACAAACTTTGGGCGCAGTTAATCGTAGAATGTCTTTACCGACAAACTGTTTGTTGCCTAACCTTGGGTAATTAACAAGTAGAATCATACCTTCAACTAATTCATGCAGAGACACATAACACAAACGTGAAGCAGCCGGTGCTGTTTAAATTCCCAAATGTCTTTGTAATTAATTAAAAGAAGAAAATTGGTTACAAAATCATCTAAATAAGCACGCATGGACTCGGCTTACGAAATATTCTATCTACAAAACTCAGTCTGCGCCAAAATACTAACTGAACAATATGTGAATAACAAACAATATACTAATAGCTACAGTAACAGTCACACAACTTTAATTTGAGCTTTAAATGTAATTTCTTTCGCTCTTCAGGGGCGGATCCAGGATTTTTGTTAGGAGGGGGTGCACTCGTCTCTTGCTCTACTTCAACACCAATAAACCACATAGTTTTTTTTCGCAGAATACCAGTTGTATTAGAAAACCGCAGGTCACCTCAGGGTGGGGGGGGGGGGGGGGGGCACCCCCTGCCCCCCCCCCCTAGACCCCCCCCTGCCCTTGGCCCCGGTTTTAAATGGGGGAAAATATTTTTAACTACCCCTTATTTCCTGGCTTTCCACAATAGCGCATAGGACACCCCTTGGGGGGTGGGAGGTTGTAAACATAGAACCTGCCCCCATTT